TCCATCTTCAAAGTTTTGCTCGCTAAACGACTATTATTAAAAATAGTGCTATCATGTACTGATCCTTGCCAACGAGCAACTACATTTGTTATTTCTAAATTGCTATTACATACTGCTTGAACATTTAAAGAAAAGTAATCTTTTCTATTGCGGAAAAGTTCAGCATTTTCCCCACCTGCCACAATCAAAATACAAATATTGTATATACATATAATAAATCTATTTTAAATAAATAAAGTAATTACATAATAATATATCTTCGTGATAATAACTTACCAAATGACTGGACACGTATGTACATGAGTACAATCCATGCAACCAATGACTCTTGGAAAGGCAGCAATATTATAAAAGCATAATTGTTCTTTTCTTATTTTTTCTTCAGTACTTGGGAACTGGATATAACGAGGTCGTAGTCTGGCAATAGCTGCACTGACTCTATGAATTATATAATGGGCAGATGTTGTGCTTACACCAGAAAAATCACCCATTGTTATAAGAAATAATCCGGTAGCATAAATGCGAAGTGTTAATAATAATTGTTCCATAGGAGATACGGCATGATTTCTAAAAAATTTGCATAAACTCGTTTTTTAAAAGATTAAAATTATTATACAGTAATTTTAACTTACCGGTTGGTTAAAAATTCTAACTCTCCTCTTATTTCTTCTAACACTAACAATACCGATTGTTTATTCAATCGGAATCGCATTTTAAAGTCTACATCGTCCAATTCCTCAAAATAATTTATACGATGTTTAAATTTCCTTCTTCTTCGTTGTTGTTCTTCATAATTTTCATCGTCGGAGGATGATAACATAAAATTAAATAAATTTGCCATGTCTGAAAAATGTTAAATGCTACTTTTTTCGTATCGAGAAGCTAGTTACATTATTAACCGGATGGTTAAACGGCCAAAATTGGCCGTTTAAATTGAACTCAGTTTATACATATAAGTTTAAACTTGAAGATGTCGTTGGTTAAAACCAATATTTTACTAAACTTTGGTTAACCAAATGTCACTAGGGATTAACTCTTTAAACCGTGTTGGTAGAAACGGGCATAAAACCGATTAAAACGTAATCCGTTTTAATCGATTTTAATCGGTTTTAATCGATTCAATCTGCGCCCGGATTAAAAAGTAATCGATTTTAATTCCGAACGAATTATAATTGGTTTTAATATTACTTTTGCGGATTATTTCCAATCTGAAATCATTATATTCTCATCCATATTATTATCAACTCAAATAAATCCGAATAACCATATGGATATATAATATCCAAAATAATCCGCCTAA